TAGCAACGAATTGAATTGTAAGTTTGTTGCCACGCAAAGCCTGTAAACAGAGATCTCGCAATTTGACCTTTTTCTCTAGGGGAAGTTTTACTATCATTAACAAACTATTTATTCAGAACCCCAAAATTAAGAGCTCTTGGGAGGGTATCAATGCACATTTGTCAGGGTGGACATGCAACCCGAGACTAATAAAAAGTCTGACACTATCCGATACATTAACTGCGCAATCCGAAAATTCCTGATCTTGAAAATAAAAGTCATCAATAAAACCACTGTTAATGTGTCCTTTTTGTCGAAGAGTAGCCAAAACTGGCTTCATGACTTTGGTGAAAATTCTGGGAGAACTAGTTAGCCCCATGGGCAGTACACAAAACTCATACAGTTGTTCATTCCAAACGAATTTGAGAAATTTCCGTTGTTCGTCTGCAATAGGAATAGTGTAATATGCATGCTTTAAATCAATAGAAGCCATATAGGCTCCTGGAGTAACAAGACTAAGAATTGCAGCAAGCGTATCCATTTTGAAATGTCTGTAAAGAACAGCCTGGTTACAGCGCTTAAAATTAAAAATCAATCGATATGAACCATCCGGTTTTGGTACTACAAAAATTGGAGATATACATTCTCCCGCAGCATGCATCGATTTTGATACGACTCCAAGCTGCAGTAGTTTATCTACTTCCTTACTAATAATATCATGTTGGTGGACATTAAAATGCTGATGCCCTGGAATGCTATATTGAGAAGGGTCATCAATGAACTCTATGTGACAATGCTCTATATTATCTAAAATCTCTGGGTCAGATGTGATCTCTGACCATTTAGAAACACAATGCTTAGTATTACCAGCCCTAAAACCTGGCTGCTCAGAAATAAGTGATTTAACATTAGTTAATAAGTCAACATACCAGTTGCGAGTGGGCTTTTGGTTGCTTGCCTTTCGCTCGTACTGGGGCACATTCTGAAAATTCTGGCGCTGATGAAAACCAGAACCAAACTGAGAACCGTGGCCACGCTGGCTTCTACCACGCATTGAACCGCCTCGAAAACCTCTCGTAGCATACGGGTGAAATCTCGGACCTCGTCCACGAAAACTGGTCGAGCCTTTACACACTTTGTGTTTGTTGAACTCGGCCATCTCTTTAACGCGTTTAGCAGTGTCGCCTCCAAAAAGAAATTCGTCAGCTGGACTCGTAGTACTACAAAGCCCCTTGGCAAATTCCGCTTTAAATTGAGGTCTGATAGCATCCCGTCGTCGTTGATTGAGCTCATAATTAGCAGTCATTGCCAGTGTGAGGCCATCTAAACAACTGTTTAGAACATCTTTGGACACATTAGCCGACAGCAAGGAATTAGTTGCTTCAAGCTGGCAATTAATAGAACCTAACAATGCAGCTTGTGTTGACTGAAATTTAATGTCTGTAACGCGTGCCTTGCCAGGAATTTCATTCCAAATACTTGGTTCACATTTAGGCAGGCGTAATTGAACATTTTCGGGTGTATTATGACGTTTGGCGATCGCTTTAGCTTGATCTTGGCTTACTCGTTGCAGTCGCAATTTATTAACCAAATCGCCAATTTTCTGACTAATTGCTGGCCCTTTAACATCAACGTTAAGATCTAATTGTTGCTCATATTGCAAAATTTCAGCTTCATTTGCATTGTCATTAGTGATATCGGCACTAACACGGTCAACTTGTCCGCCTGATTGAATTAAACTATCAATGTCCGCCTGAATATCGACATTTTCAGGATTCTCAACATGGTCGTCAGTTGGCTGAGAATCTATTTCAACATCATCTTCCTGATATTGCTCAGTATAAGCTTGTAAAATTTTCGTTTAAGCGATTCAAACTCATTAAAATCGCGCGGTTCACTGCACTTTGATCAAAATTTTCATCAATAGTGCTATCTAAGTCAAGATCGCTCACTGGCGGATCTATAGGCCTTGAACTTTGCTCTGCACATATGCTCACACTGGAGACATTGGCCTTCGACATGGTCTAGGAGAGAAACGTAAAAACTACATTACTATAGTATATTTTAAAAGACACACCTAGATTTCGTAATCGCTCCGACCATGTCCATATAATGAATGCCGTACAAACTGTACAAGGTCATTCCAGGTAAAAATAAGCGGAATTCGTACAGAATACGCTGCACCTACACTGATATTTCATCCAAACTTATACTTACCTAACTCTCGTCGAAAACCAAAACTTGAACTGGAACTCGAAAATCGACGTCTACTCCCAACGGTTGATCCTTGTTCAATGATGTGATGTCACTCCCGGTGAGCCTGCGTTCGTTCTTCATGTCAGTCCGTAGGTTACGACTTATGGGATAGAATTTCAATGTAAATGTTAACTTCCATATATATTGTTTATTGTTTAAATTTGGATGCTATATATATGTCAATGTATGGATTGTGACAACACCTGCTATCCTGACTGCTCTATGGCATCTAAAATGTTTTGCATATCTCGATTATATGGCAATGATAAAGAAGATTGTCAAGTTATCAGTGTGACATCCCAGTTTATGTATCAACATTATGATGTCACAACTCAGTTGACCTATTAAGGAAATCTTTGTTACTGTTATGGTAATAATCCGAAATACTACTGCAAGTGGAATTTATGGCAGCTATTTCATTCAATATGAAAACTAGACCTGAAAACTTTGTTCTACTGTATATAATATATGCTAGTGATATTAATTTTAAAAGTATTGTATTTTGTGCAACTTGTGTAGTATTGTTTGAATGGAATTTGTATTTCGTGACTGCATGATTATTCGTTATGATCAAAATGACATTGTGAAATTAGTATGTTAAATTCTCTTTCCCCTGTTTACAGCCCTGGTAGATGTGTATTATGCTTGATCTTAATATCTAATTTGCTATTATATAAGTGATGAAATATATATTTCAATTGTTCATTGGTGTCACAGATATACATCTGTCTAAACTACAACAGCTATAAAATACAGCAGCACGCCTTATCTGTTCTATCCCTAAACATGATCACATCACTCCGACTCTCATCAAATTACACTTAAGGATCAAGTTCAAAATTGCTATGCTTGCTTTTAAATGTAGTCATCAGTATGCACCTCTCTATCTTGTCAATCTTTTAAAAGTAAGAAATACATCATGCTATAGCCTAAGATCTAACAAAAGCACATTGCTTGAAGACTATAGTACAAAAACAAAGAAAACACTTGGCGACAGAGCATTCGTAACCTCCACTCCAAAAATCTGGAATGAATTACCTATGTATATAAGAAATCTGCATAACTTTAGTATTTTCAAGAAATTAGTTAAGACTTATTATTTTCAAGAAGCCTTTAACGTAAATACTTCATGTAACATATAATCTATATAATCTTGTTTATATTTTTTAGAATCATTTTATTTTAGTGTAATTATGTTGTGATGGGCATTTGATCATATACTATAACATGTTAATTTGTGCAATATAAATATTAAATATTATTATTATTATTCATTTCCTTTCAAGAAAATACTAAATGTGACTCCAGTTTTGCGCAGATACATGTACGCGTAGCGTACCTATTTTTCAAGAATTCCGTGACATCCATTTTCATCCACAAGTCATCATATTTCAATGCGTGAATAAATATAAATCATAAATGTTAACCCCTCTTTCACGCCATATTGGATTGTCTCGCGACCAAGCCGTGATTTGTAATTACGTAATTTTAATACTGGTCGCTGATTGGCTAAGTTAACAGTGAACAGCTAACAGCTATCACGTCGATAGCATATAATCTACTTCGTAGTCTAGATTTAAAAATCACAGCAAGGAAAAAAAATACTCTCAGTGAAAATCGCAAAATTGCGTCGCGTTGTCGAATCGCGTCCGGTGTGTCTGGACCTTGATTCGACAACGCAACGCGATTTTTCGATTTTCACTGACCGATAACTTTGATCCTAGTTTAAATTTTCCAAATATTTAGAAACGCTATAATATTTGGAGTTATTTGGTTTATTAACTTTCAAAAACTAAAAAATCGCGTCGCGTTGTCGAATTGCGTCCAGTGTGTCTGGACCTTGAACAAGGTGCGCGAAATTAAATCGCGCGAATTTAAAGCAGAGCGAAAATGAGTACGACGCGATTATTGTTTTACTGGCACCTTCAAGGCTACCCCTATCGCAGAACAACTGAACAATCTGCTGATGAGGAGACAAAATCTATTTGTTGACATTTTTGTCAGCTTCAGATGACCATTCATTTGTAATGATTCAAGATTGTACAAAGAAATTGTGAACAGGTGAATATATGAATGTAGGCCGGTAGGATTATTACATATAATGCTAACCAATGGACATATCAATGGACTAAAAGTACATTTTGACTGCTTGTAGAAATATAAAGACGATCAGTGGCTATTAGAACTGCAAATTCATGAAATCATATTGGTTGCAATACCTCTATAATACTATATCGAACACTATAAACAGCAAATCTAAATACAAATACCTTCATGTATATCATCAGAAAGAAATAAAGCTATCCTTACCTGAATTATTCAAAATATTGTCGATCCTTTATATCGTCAAAATCCAACATACTGCATGCAAATAAGCACGTATTAAACTGGAGTAATCCTGAGAAGAATCATGCGAGCGCAATACAAAATAAATAAAATCGAATCAAAATCGAATAAAAACAAAGAGTCGTCGAATGCTCGAGCTGACGACAATTTCCGAAAAATCTTTACATCCGACGGACTGACATGGATTCAGTACTGTTTCCCCAATATAACTTGGCCGGGGACTGGGCACGAAAAGCAAGAACGTCATGTAACGTCAAGAATAGGGAGCTGTCTCGCTACGCTCGGCAGCAACAACACTATATAGTCGTGATAAACAAAACTATAGTCCTATATCTATCACTAGAAAAGTAAAAGAGTTAATCATCATAATTTAAAATATTTAAAAAGCTCCAAATGTTTCAATGTCACTTTTTAGAAGTCATTTTGCCCGTTGTGCCCTTGTTGTGGGGAGCACCATGATAGAAAGGACAGATTTGCATACACTTATCTGCTTTTGAATAGAATTTTAGAATCTAAATGAGGCGAAGAATTTTCATGATAAGATGCACATAAAAGAATATTAGCCCGTCTCTATTATGAATGTGGTCCATAAAATATCATGTTTTCAATTTCAAACATTTCAAACACTAGCTTAACACATTTGTAAAAATTTGTAAATCCAATGTTACGTTATAATTTCAACGAAACGCTACCGATCAAACAATTATTCATAATCAGTATCAGTACTAGTAGAGTGATATAGATGCTGTATATAAAATAATATTCGGAGTTAGCTGGAATTGTTAATGATCAAAGTCAGCAAGTTTATTAAATTTTCAGACAAATAAGAAATCTTATAAATTAGGGGATCTCAATAATAATAAAAGTGACCACATATCTAGATTGCACTAGCTACTATACAGGATAACAATTAACAATAGGACAAAACGATCCCGACATTAACACTGCAATAACCGCAATTGGTAACGCTAGGCGTGTTTTAAACAAACGGACGGACTTGACTGAAAATGGAAGTTCGTGAATGAAAAAGAGAAACATGCGGAATTAGTTGAAAATAATATTCTAACAAAATAACTGTACTGCAAGCACAGACCTTCTATTTTGTACGACGCTGGAGCTCTTTTGATCTTTTGATTTCTTGCAGTGGTGGTGTGTGGCAGGTATCATCAGAGTGGAAAAGTAGTTCAGAATACACCCTTTTCATAAATGGCTGCCGATTAAAAATTCTTTTATGTGCATATAAATTGGCCCAACTAGCCTCGTTTCTGGGTAGAAATTCCTTTGAAATCTTAACATCAGTACGAGGCTAGTTGGGCCAATTTATATGCACATAAAAGAATTTTTAATTGGCAGCCATTTATGAAAAGGGTGTATGGCAAGCGTAAATATTTTATTTATTTTACCATGCACACTAGACTTTGCAAAGTCCTTCGTCCTTGTTATAAATTTTAGCAACAAAAACAAAGGAATTTTTGAGAGATAATTTAAGCGAAATAGTGAGCAGTTTCCGGAAATCAAAATTTATACTTTTCCAACTTGCACCGCGCTAAATTTTACCAACCAAAAACGGGCAAAATGTTTTCGTAGTCGGCAAAACATGAGTTTGGATAGGAATAAAAAAACTTTTAGTGACGGTAATTAAAAATTAGTAATGATAGCTAAAATGCGGAGAAATGTACGAAAAAATTTGGGAAAAATGAGACGAATAATGGTAGTTTAACTCAAAATAAGAGGAATAATAATGTTTTTTATGTTAACTCCCTCTCCTCCCCCCCCGCCCCCGCAAACACTTTGGAGAAAAGAAATACTAATTAGCCGCTTGCAGGAGCGCCGGCCCTGCTCGCACAAATAATATGGGAAAATCGGTCCAAAGGAAACGTTGTTCATGTGGCTAAATAATTTATACTTGGATGAATTTGTGCACTGCAAGAAGTCTCTCTTTGCGCATGCAGGAAAGCGACTTCCGAAAATAAGCATCCATATTTATTAAACATGATCAATTGGAAAAGTTTTGTTGTAAGATATTTACTAAACTGGCTAAGGTGCTCTGTATACTCCTTTTCTTGGAACAAAATTAGAGGAGCTGAAGCGCGCGAGAGCGATTGCGCCTCTCAAAATGTAAAGGTCTGCGTGCCGTGAGAAAGAATTTATTGAGATTACGAAGAACCGTTTTGAGTCGAACCACTTCTTTTGGTTAACCTAGAGATCAATGTTTGTGGCACACCACAAGATGATTGTCATCAACATGCGACATGTGAGAATACTGGACCAGGGTTGCACACATGTACTTGTAACCAAGGTTACACAGGAAATGGAAAATACTGCGAAGGTTTGTGGCGAATTTTTAAAGTCCTAGTTAAAATATAGTTCAAACCTTTGACATCCATATATTTAATGCTTCCAGTTAGCTCAACTATGATTCAACAGCAAATTATTCCGACGCAGATTAGGCATCATTTGGATGCACATGCAGTCGAAACTCTGAATTATTAGAATGGCAAATAGGGTCAACCTCGTTCCCAGGCAAGAAGTTGATCTATTATTGAGATACACAAAGATATACATGTGACCTAATGGGAAATTTTGATTGGGCTTAACTCGAAAGAGCGTGGTGGGGGCTTAACTCGAAGGGCTTAACTCGAAGATTTGCTATCCCGTATAACGCCAATGATGACTACATATGTTCGGTATCTGCGATCAACTCTGTGAGAACTGAGAAGTTGATCTATTATTGAGATACACAAAGATATACATGTGACCTAATGGCGTAATGGGGAGTTTTGATTGAGATCATTAATTTTTCATGAATTTGTTAAGTTTACTGAACGTGGCTCGGTACCCCAATTCGAGCAATCTCGTGATCCGGAGCACGTGCGAAATAATTTTTTCTGTGAAAAATTATTGGTGCGGTTGTTAGTTCTAGACTATAGTCTCAACTGTAGGTATTAAAACATTACCATATTATATTATATTATATTATTGCTGACGCAGCGAGCGAGCATGAAGCGAGCGAGCAAGTCAGCAGTTCTAATTCGTATTGGGTTCTGACCAGAATGCACTGCTGTTAACCGACCAGAATGCATTGTTGTTAGCCGACCAGAATGCTTTGCATGCATGATGCTATAAATACGGGGAATCTCATTAGTCAGTTTATATAAGCCGGTAACGATGCAGTTCTTTTGGTGTATTTTGTATTTCATTGTATGCCTGGTCTGTTGATTTCTGGCTGGTCTTACACTATATATACTGAATTTGTTCATTACAAACAATTTATAACGCTTAGAAAGCGAATTTATGCGTTTGTGCTCTTCGCCTTATTTTCTTTTGTTTTTTCTTATTTCATTTAAACAGGGTTTAGGTTTTAGACCTTTTGTTTGAATATGATTTGACAATAAGGTGATTGACTCATTGACACGGAGACATGGCATGAACAGTCCGGCAACTGCCAACTATGTTTATAGCATGGCGTTTTAAAAGAACGATGCTTTGCGTGCTATTTCATGGGTTAATTAAATTACTTTGGCTGCCAAAAAGCACACTACACTATAATCAGTGCATACACAACATAACTTAATTTATGAAAAATTTGACCGTGCGTTATACGTGTGTCTGACTCAGTGTAACAATACTGAGTTTATTTGACTGTATATTATAAGTTCTTTGTAGGTTTGCATGGCGATTAAACATATAATACTTTTTGTTTGTGGAAACACCACGTAAATAAATTGTAAACATTTACGTGGTGTTTCCGCAAACAAAAAGAAAATATGACTGTATATTGTTTTGACTTAGGCTCGATTTCCAGCTGGTTTTCCGTACAAAAACGGGACCTTGAAAGTCGAGAGACTGCTCACGGCTGGTAACCAAGCCTAGAGTTGACTCTGTATTTGTCTATTTACTTTTCATTAACTCATTTAATTTAACTGAAGAATGGAACCAATGGCTTCTCTTGCTTGACTTAGTGACCACTGAGTCCTTCTTATTATATTTCGTAACACAATTTCCTCAGAGAATAATATTTCAGCTGAGGAATTCCTCAGCTGAAATATTGAGGAACAATATTCTTCTCGCTTCTAACGAGTAGAATCTGAAACTCAATTATATTGGTTGTAAAATTGCTGAAGAAACAAAACAATCTTCAAATTCTATTAACAGAATATGAAGAACACTTCGCCATCTCAAAATATACTCAAATGGCAGATAACTAAATATGATTCCTTAAAATTCTCCCTTAAAGTACGCGTGAAAAATTTAAAAGTTCCTCAATCTTGTTGCTAAGGCAAATGTTCCTCAGGATCCAGGATCCCACTTTTTTCCAGGTCTGCAATAATAGTATACGTGCGGATCATTGAGGAACACCGAGGTCCTGCTTTATAATCTTGCTTACTCGAACTATGAGCTTGGCGCGTGTTGTAGGTTCAGGGCCGTACCCAGCGGTGGGCTGGGGGGCAACTGCCCCCCTAGAGAAAACTATATTTACAATTTTTAGAATGTCATTATTAATTATTCTTCGGATATTTGGGACTTTTTCGGCATATATAGGCCTTACTGCCCCCTGATGAAAAAATCCTGCATACGGCCGTGTGTAGGCTGAGCTATAGACGAATCACGTCGCACTATCCTGGTCACATGTGTATCCCTTTGATTTAATCAGCGTATATTTTAATTAATCAAACTGATGACAAACAAACGAATTGAAATGAATATAAAAGATGGTACATTGTACTGAAAATTAATAACTAAGAACGTATCATTGTTATACAGCGCAGCATGATTTTGCGATTATGATAACTGCAGTTATAGTTTATTAAAAAAAAAGAAGAAAAATTCGAAAGTAGAAAGTTGGCAATACTGATGCTACAAATAGAATCCGTTTTTGCAATTGACAATTAGGTAGAAGAATTCCATAGATTACGTACGATACCATACTTCTTCTGCATTGTACCCTTCTTGCCCTACTGGCGTACATTTCTGATTCTGACCAAATGCACTTAACAAACTCGTTTAATAGAAATCAAGATATGTGGCACGGCGAGAGATGACTGTCATGAATTTGCGACCTGCAGAGACACCGGACCTGCAACTTACACTTGTACGTGCAATGAAGGTTATCAGGGCGATGGAAAGATCAAATGCGACAGTTAGTACACTGATTCAACATTTTGATAATTCGACTTTTTATTTACCTATTTATTTAAATTACACTGCTGATAAATTACATTGCATAAAGTTACATGAAATGGAATATACACGACAATGCAACACATTAATTAGGGCATATATCCTGCTATCTATAAAGATCTCAGCACGTTTGTAGCTAGGTTTGAGAATGTCTTTGAAATAGAGTCGAAATATTACATTGAATTTTGTTGTCTTGTTTAAATAGCTCGAATCTTGAGTTTACAAGATATTAATATTCGGACAGGGCCGTAGCTAGCATGTATAGTTGGGGGTGTAGGCCAAATATTTCCGAATGACGAAGAAAATTTTCGAATATTTCATGGCATACGAAGCCACGAAGGTGTTTGCTATCCGGAAATGAAGATGCAATTTACAAACAAAAATACACATAGTTTACGCAAAGACATATTACAGAAGCATGCAGTGCCGTAGGAAGCTCTTTTTTATTGGGGGCTGGGAACGAGGGCCGAAGAAATTTTTAAATTTAGATTCTCTGAAATGCCATTTCCTGGACTTTGGGGACGTTTTGACAGAATTCCGATGGTCAGAAAACGGTGTTTTAGTATGATATTTGTGACGTTACTCTGAGTATGCATCCACAGCGGGCAAGCTGAAAAGTTTGCTTGGCCACTGTGGGAATCGAACCCGCGATGTTCTGCCAACTGAGCTACGTGGTCAAGTCGGTTCGAGCTGTTAATAGAGTTTTAGTATGTCGAAATTTACAATTTGCTTACAATTTAGTAGAACTAAATGGGCGAAGGCGTATTTAATTAACTATATATTGCAGGAAAGAGTATAGATAATATTATTCTTTGCGGTTTGTCATGGATAATGTAGCCGCTTAAAATTAATCAATAGACCTTTCCCCTTATGAGTGAAATTTTGATCTAGACAAGCCTAAACAAGAATTTCATCACAGCTTGAAAGAGCATCACAAAATTAGAAATATTCCGAAGTTTCGTTGCGAAATGTTGTAAAATGCGGATAATATAGCCTTGCGAAATTTGCCGTTTTTCAGTCATTGTATTACAAATGGGAAATTGATAATCAGTTTGATCATCTAGCCTGATTATCAATTTCCCGTTTGTAATGCAAAATGACTGAAAAACGGCAAACTTCGCAAAGCTATATTATCCGCATTTTACAACATTCAACGAAACTTCGGAATATTACTAATTTTGTGATGCTCTTTCAAGCTGTGGTGAAATTTTTGTCCAGGCTTGTCTAGATCAAAATTTCACTCAAATGGGGAAATTAAGGTCTATTGTAGAGGTATGCAAATCCGATCCGAATCCGATCAGATTCGTTCGGATTTCGGAACCAAAATGTAAATTTTGGATCGGATTGATAAAGTTGTTTCGTAGTCGGATCGGACTTCGATATCCGAAATAAAATGAATTAAATTATCCATGCATTATCGCAAGAATTAATTAATATCCATACATTTATCAAAGTATCATCGCGGTTTTCGCTGCATTATTAGTTTGATACTTCAATTGGACGTCATTTTGTCAGCTTCTTGACATGTATATCTTGCTTTTATATTTATTTGGTTAATTATTTCAACTTGAATGAGAAATTTATTTTATTAAAGAATTCTTCGGACCGGATCGGATTGGAATTCTTTTTCAAAACTCGGATCGGATTCGGATTAGACAATTTCGGATCGGACTTTAAACATTAGGCAATTGTCGGATAAACGTCCAATCCGATCCGATGCACACCTCTAGTCTATTGTCAGTATTTTAGACGTATATTATTTAAATGATAAAGGTGTGCATGATTTTGAAAAAAAGAATGATTATCAGCAAATTATTGTAAGGGCTGCTGCCCCCAGTCCCCCCCCCCCCTCCCCCCGACTGCTACGGCCCTGAGAAGTAATAAACCGAAAAACATTTACCGATTTACGATTTGTTTTACGTTATCCATGCAAATGCCGTGATTTCGTAAATCAGTTTATACCAATGGTTTATACTGACAATACCATTTTATAATATTTTCTCTGTTTAAACAACTAAAATTTTGTTATACTATTATTGCCGTAATTTTCCGAATGGCCAACCCGATTTTCCGAATATGTTAATTCTACAAAAGTTGGGGGCGGGGGGGAGGGGGGTTAACCACCGCCCCCAATACCCCCCTCGCTACGGCCCTGTATATATTGGTCTGAGATCTTTATTAAATTCTTCGAATTCAGTGGTCTGATTTTTGGGTAATGGAATGACGTTGGCCTTTTTTCCAATTATGTACGTAGTGGGTAAAATTTGTTTATGAAAGGACGAATTGATTAAGTGACATACTGGTTCGGTGAGTAAATAGCTAAAAGTTTTTAGAAACCAGTTTGGAATATCATCTGGACCAGGTGCTCTGAACTCCTTAATTGTTCTTAATTTTTTTTCAACAGATTCAAATAGTTCAGGGGGACCTTATTTGCCCCCCTCCAGTCCCCTCCTTTAACTTGGGGTCCGGGGCAAATTGCCCATAATATTTTGAATCGTTGGCTGTACCACAGTGATACCAGTAGACACTTACATCAGCGCATTGATGAACATAAGGGGTCGCTAATGAGGTACTGAAGCACGTGTCTGGATATCATGGGGAGGATGTGTCCCGTATTGAAAACTGCTTTTCATTCCTCCGAAAGTGCCAGTGAAAGTACAAGCCGTGCCTCCTCCTGTTTGATTGAAATGCTGTACATAATTCATAAAGCGGAACTTTGTGAGTCGACCATCTTTGAATACACAATCGGACTCAATGAGATTTGTTACTATTTGTTATGTCTGTATGTTAAATGTGTTTTCACTGCTGTTGAATCAGTATTTTAGTAATATTCTAATCGCATGCATGTAGAATTTCTCATTATTGTGTAATGAAAAATTTGCATGCTTAATTAAGGCATAAGGCTGTTTACCAGTTAAATAAGCATACCATACGTGCGTGCCAGTGACGTAGTCGGAGGGGGACCTGTGGCCCCGGTCCCCCGCTGGCAAAATATTGGTGGTCCCTTAGAAAAATTTTGACCAGTACAAGAGGGTCTAGATGGGGGTCTGAAAATCAGTAAACGGTACAATTTTGGTATTCTGACGGTAACAATAAGTAACATTTTGGTATGTTAACGGTAAATCTTTGAAAAGTGTTCTGAAACGATAAACAGTATTTTTTTCCTCACGATTCACCTTTAACCGAGCTACTATAGAGCAGGTAGTGTCGAATGACTTAAGATCGGTACTCCTGTCGTACATGACACATCGACCTATATGTCGATCGGGTGTCCACACTAAGTTGGGCGTCAATATGGTGAACTGAGGGGAACCTTCGTCCACTAGGTTGAATAAAGAGATGTACCGGTCCAGGATGGAAACATAGCAGACAAAAGTTCCCGCGCGTCAAACAGTAGTGAGATAGCACTTGTGAATAGGCGTGCGACAGCCCGGTCAAGATAGTTGGACCCGCTACCATGAAGACTAGAGAATCACACGCCCATTGTGCAAACCAGCTTTAGCTGACAATGTTAGCGTGGTTAAATAAAGTTTTATCACGATTCACGCTAAATTTTTAGTTTCACGACTGACGGTAACCGAAATTGAGTGAATCACGACTCACGATATACCCCATCAACCCCTCGTGCAAATATGTGCATTATATTTTTATTTCTCCTAATGGAAATTTTATGTCTTCCCGTCTGTTTTAAATGTTCGATCTGGATTATTTTGTGATTAAGTAGAGTTGTTATGTGTTAAGTACTTAAATGGCTATTTAAAATCACCAAAACGCATTAAAATAGCCCCCAAAATGCTGAAAATGGCACTTCTAGAATTTAAAATCCCCTCCCGGATCCCCCTATTTTCACATAATAGACAAACTTTATTCGAACTGGCGACGCGTAAAATTGCTTGGGCACCTCCAGGAATTTTTTCGCCGCCCCTGACTTCTGTGGTTCTCCCACTTCACTGGTGGCCAGTGCGCCAATTCCCCTGCCCCACTTCCCAAATTAATTCCCCGCCGTTCCCAATTTTACAGTAAAAGTGGTTTCCGGAATTTGTCGGGAAATGTTCGGGCGGTCGTTCGGAAGTTGTTCGGTTCTCGATGCAGTTCCTTTTCCGAACTGGCGAACAAGTACTTATTAAATTCTGTAGACTCGACGGCAAAAGGTCACAAATCAACCTGTGAACATATCTTTTTACGATGCGACTTGATTCCTTTTTATAAAACACTGCGACCACCGTACCTTAGTATCCAAGAAGCAGCGAAATCATGGGCTTGAAACCTCTGGAATTTTCGGAAGCGCTGCTGGACAGTCCGTACTTTCGCGAGAACATACATGAACATGAACGAGAATTGGATCGGGCGAACGATGCTATAAAATCGCTCATTAGAGAATGCAAATCGTTGATAAAAGCTACAGAACGTAAGTGAAATATTCTTCTGTTTCGTGTTCAATGCTTTCGCTTATCGGCTGTGACATATTCGCGGTGATCGCCCGCATAAACAGCTGGGAAATTATGCCTGATACTTGATGACTTGATGACCCAATCTCATGCTGTTTGAGTTTGTACACAGTCAATTTTCTCTCGAATTTTCTACTAGTAGGAAGTAGACAATTTTCAATAGTCACAGACTTCTTGAAGCGTTTGTCTGCTGTTGAAGGCCTTTAGTTATTTAATTCATGGGAAAACTTGTATCGTTTGGGCTTTTTGACGAAGTATTGAACGTATATCAAAATGCACTGTATTATTAACGAAGTTATTTCGAAATATAATACGTATTTAACGCATGTTTAACATATAATTTTGCTGAATATGTCAGTTTCGTCAAAATTTCCAGTTGAATGCATAAATTCTTGCCATTTCTGGACATGATGCATAATAGTTCAGGATTTGTTTGGGATTCTATTTCCTGTTTTATGACAATGATATGTGTAAATTCTGCATGAATTCTTAATGAGAGGCATTTTGAATATTTAATTCGATGATCCATCCAGTGCTCTCCCCTTGACAAGTAAAATTGTCTGGCATTAAACAGAGTAAAATAATCAAGTCAGGCGCATTAGGGCGTGATTCAAATTGATCGTTACCTACAGTAGACACATTGGTGGATAATCTGGGTAGCCTATTGAACACCAGCGCTCTCCCATTGACACATGAAAATGTGAAATCTTCTAGTATTAGACAGATTAAAGTAGGGCCACTGAGATGCAATGCAACTTAATGGGTTAATAGTGATTATGATATTTGATTTCATGGTAATTTCACACAGCAGTGGATCCAAACTGGTGCAATTGATGCATATGCACCGTTTAAGATTTCAATTTTCGATATTGGAAATCATAGGCTTCAGGGCTCGAATTTTATTGTGGCAATCGCAGCAATTGCCGTAGAGGGAGAACAAACTGCTGTGGATCATTGCGGCAACGACGGCAATTTTTTGCCGTACCATATAGTGCAATTTTTATACTATTCACTGTGCATTACTACTTTGATACTTTAATTCAGATCTTGACCAAATCATGCGTAAATCACTATTTTAGTCTCAGTTTTCTTCGAAAAAAACCCCACTAAAGAAATACGTAGACAAATCCAAAGTAATAATAAAATGAAAGTTTTATTACTGTAATTTGAAAAATGCCATGGAAACTGCCAAAATTGCCGTAGACAGCTGTTATGTTCTACAGCAATTTTTAACGCCATTGTCGTCGATTGATTTCAGGGAAATTCGAGGCCTGATTGGCTTAGTATCCCCACAGGATGCTATAAAAATTTTGAATTTCCAATCCAAACTCTGAAGTCTGTTCATTGTCGCAAAATGTTGGACAAGCTAGCTTGTATTGGCACTTTGGTTCTTATTCCGTGTATTTTTGGTCACAAGGTTTTGGCCCAGTGCTCAACTATTATAGGTTTGTCCTTTGGTTTCTCTAATACAAGTTAGCTGTGATAAACTAGGGCCACTACAAACAGCTGAAACATTACAGCAGACAATTTACCTTGTTTGGATGCTGCTAGTCTTCTGGAATACCTACTATGCAAATTTAAGGTGCTAGTATCCACTTGGATACTAGTTAGTAAGAAATTCAAATCTTGAACCCTGGAAAATGTTTTTGTTCTCTCTAGGAACCTGGGTTTAGGGTTCCAAATTTTCTGCAAACGATTACAATATATATACAGTATAGCTAGGGAAAAATAATAAAATTGTTGTTTGTGACTGTCTTTCCTACCTTACATGTGATGCAATACTAATACTTCAATAAATCCTGAATTAATCATACAGTTATGTAGTAGTTACAGTCTTACAGCATTAAAAACAAATTCCTATATGCCTGGATATTTTCGTTCTGAACTGTTCCGCTGTAATTTAGGTATCGAGTTAGTAGATTAGTGAGGTATTCAATCACAGCCCTCGAAAACCGTCAAAATTGAGGTCAGCAAAAAAATGCAGACCTAAATCTGACCTAGGTTGGCACGTCTCGGCATTTTCTAAAATCTGTCCCATGTTTTGGAGCACTAGTAATCACGCATTTACGAATCATTGAAATTGGAATATAACTGGAACGTTACCTCCAGCCGGAAAATTCAAAAGCCAAATTTTATTGACGCGCGAAATTTAATCTTCAGACACCTAAATTATATATATACAATACCCGTCAATTTTTAAACCATACACCAAAGTGTGTTCAGTTAATCGAACTACGAATCAAATTCTATAATCGCTGACTTTTTAACAGCTATCAGCACAAAAAATTCTTACTTTGGCTGAATTAAGATCGGCAACAATTTGCCGACATGGGAGGTTGATAGGTTGCATTTAGGTCGGCATTGCCGAATGCCGACCTCGTTTTTGAGGGCTGCAATCATATGTATTTAATAATTTTGGTATTCAATTGGTGTGATTTTCAGAACTGGCCATCAAACGTCCATGAAAAGTTATGCAAAATTGCAGAATTGCATTCCTCTGCTCTGTTATTACCATATTTCTCTAATTAGCCCCCAGCCTCATTTTAGCCTCCCCTTCTACTGTACCAGTAATTAATGTCCCCCCCCCCATATAAAAGGTATACCCTGTTCTTTGCCACCTTAAGTAAAGAAAGTCTCAATAAAAGTTATGTTTTTGAACTTACTTGTTTAGTTTTGTGTGTGTGTGTGTGTAAAAATTGTGATTTCAAGTCAGGGATTAGAAAAATACATGTACTAGATACGTTTGGAGAGTTTTTACTCAAAATTCAAGATGGGGGATCACTTGAATCAGAAATGTTCCAAAATGATCAAATTCTTGCCACAATGTTCTGATTAGTCACAAAAGTGGAATGGCGTAAAGCTCCAATAGTTAATGTAATTATTTCATGTGTGCAATCGTATCGTCAGGGTACTGAATGGCTAGAATGTAGTGCAGTAAAGTAAATATTTTTATAATAACGAAGGTGTGCCCCCAAGCCACTGTTACTAAGTTATGCTGTCAATTTTTATTTTATATAGTAAAGCTATATTGCAATCTTTCAATAAACTTGCCACACGATTTGATGCAAACACTGTCTTTTCTTGGCTTCCTGGGTTGTAAGCCAACGGTCAGAAAAGTTTGATTTTGTTCTCTGATGTGCGAATCTGTCTATACGTTCTATCACATGCACGTGTGAAAACTGACAAACGTTTGTTGCATCACATCAGTCAGTTCCTCCCAATTTTCAAACCTTTGGGCAGTTCATTTCTGGATGACTAATGCAAAGTTCCGAAACAACTACCAACTACTCAGAATAGGCCTCAGAACTTTCAAGTTTTTTTACGCATCATAGAATACAGTACTTCTTCTGAACAAATTGTTGTAAGCGTCAAAAAGTGTTATCTACAAGCTGTTGTGCACGCCCAACACTGAAAATACCAAACATATACATTTTACTATTCTCGGTGTGTCGATGTACTTCAGGCCCGTAACTAGCGATGAGTCAAAAAAAAATTCAAAGCAGGAAGACTTCAAGTTTAGAGAAAACAGATCCTGATTGAAATTTATTCAATTTCTGATGAAGGTTAGAAGTACGAATTAGCGTCCCAAATATTACCACAAACACGTTTTTTATTATTGATCATGTTGGACCTAGTACAATTGTGAGACACACTATGAAATTATAGTCATTGTGTCACTGTTTATGAGATCGATTTTTTCTTAAAACTGCTCCCAGAATGCAGGAAGACCGTGAAATTACAGTCATTGTGTCATTGTTTATCATCACTGATTTTTTGTTAAAATTGCTCCTAGAATGCAGGAAATAGCGTTTCTAAGCCTTAGAAAATTAAACATTTTCTGGGGGAGCATACCCCGACGACTCGACTCGGTAAATCTAAAATCCTAGTTACGGTGCTGTAGGGAAACCAAATATCGAATAACCGATAATTTAATCGGAACCCAAGTCGTATATGAGCTGCATGATAGCCGATAAGGTGCGTGTTTTATTATATAGACAACTAATGAATTCACAGACTCGTCTGTATGCTAAGATTTGTTTTCCAAATACTTATTGAGTACATTGCATACATAATTAATAATAGATAGCTTAAGATCTACGACGTCGACGTTAGCTAGGACGTCAGGGCTAAGCAGAGGACTGGGACTACATTAGGACGACATCCTAGTCCCAGTCCTCTGCATAGCCCTGACGTCCTAGCTGACGTCGACGTCGTAGATCTTAAGCTATCTAATATTAGCTATTAGCTTAAGTTTTTGGTTTACGAAACACAAACAGTGCTCAATACCATATAAATAGAGCGTAATATAGTTTTTCGTTTTATCTCAAAAAACCACAACAGTCTGTTTCATCCGTATAGGAATCATCAGGTGGACCACCTGTAATTAATAATATTATATATAATTATATATCATTAATATATTATTGACTCAAGTGGAATATGAAGCACAAACGGGACGCAAAGTCCCATGCAAGGTGCAACCCTGAAGCATGCAGCGAAATACGCATAAATACACATGCATGCACATACATATAATACATAAAGGGCTGGGGCGGTTCTTGAAAAAAACCGAAACCAAAAACCGTCAAGAAAACCCCCGGAAAGACCAGTTTTTAATCTATATATAACACAGACATCAAATAGTGCAGCATGCACGTGTTTTTATTATGTGAAGAATGTTAGTTTTAGATGGTTAATATCAAAAGCTTATAAAAATACAAGTAAGAAGACAATTTTAAAAGAACGTATTTACAAGTTTTCAAGCTATGCACGTCAAGATCGATATGACCATACAGCGCCTTAACAAAGAACGCTAAATCATTTATCTTTCTCATAGCACAGGGCTGGTAAACAAAGTGTTATCAGCCGTTGTTTATATAGGTTATGTTTCCGCGCTTAGCTTGCAGTATTCAAGATGTAGCTCTCCTTTATGCACTTTCCACTCTGGATCTCATTTTGATGGTGGGTGGAGACCAGACTTCGGTGGCGTAACTTAGCTGAGCCTTCACGAGCGAGGGCTAAGTACAGCGTCCGCCTCACCGCTGTAGTTAGCAGAGGGCAAGTTCTTTTGAGCATCCCAAGCGTCTTGTTACCCTTGGCGGTGATGGTACAGTATAAACATGATCAACCCATGGCAGGTTGTAAATTAATTTAATATGAGGTTAGTTTAGGACACCAGTTAGTTTAGCAATCCACGCAACTTTCCCTAAACCTGATAAACCACTGCTGATATTTTTTAAATAATACTTCAAACATTGCTGAAAACGTGCAATTTCTATATAATATTTAATGCTTTTTGGAAAAACAAGAGCTTGCTGATTTCACATCTATAAGTTGGTCTTGTTTTTAGTTCAGTTTCTTCCAGTTCCTTCGCTCTTTTGGCATTATTTTTTTTAAAAATACATTTTTTATCTACTTTAAGTATTAAAAATGTATTTGCTAATCTGTAAACAATTGCTGGAAGTATTCTCATTATGTTTGTATTTCTCTTTAATAAATGCTATTTAATGTGAAAAACCAGCTGTTTTCTCGTTCGGAAAACGGCGGTAATTTTTGAGCCACCATCTTGTTTTTTCTCCTGGCAGGGTATGAGCTAATATCCTGCTAGTAGAGAGCCTATCAAATTGCAGATTAGCTCATATCTGCTACTTATCTATGTTGATTTATAATAATTATCGATATACCGCAACAGCCTACCTTTAATAAGTCCCCAGTCCACAAGAACTGGGAAAAATAAGCTTGCAGGAGACTAAACAGAGGAAATATGCTAAGGAGTTTCCTTTTGTCATGACGTGTCATTACTGACTGAAGAATTGATACAAAAACGGGGATCTATAGGAGTACCCGTATGTGTGATAAGTGGTACAGGTACATGTAGATTTCAAGATTGATACAGGAAAGCTTATTTTCTAATGACTGCTGGTGGTTGACATAATTATCTACTGTATAATTTTATGCAATCTGTTTTTAACAGAATTATCAAAAGCACAGAGAAGTTTTGCCAATGTGCTGAAAGAGTTCAGATTGGAATGCATTGGGGAGATTGATACAGATGATGAGATGGAAATTGGTAAGTGTAAAATGATGTACAGCAAAATTCCATAATTAGTAACAAACATCTCTATTTCAGTTCTGATTTCATCTGGAGGCTCCAGATTTCTAGACCTCCCGATCTCCTGACTTGAAATATAACCCTTCCGATTTTTCAGAAAGATTGGGTTATCTTTAAGAAAACGAAAATTTTTATATTAAAAATGGATGTGCGTCACCATTACAAGCAGTCAAGCACTATCAATGAAGAAAATAAGTGAAGTAATCGCCCTTTTAAAAAATTAACAAAACTGTATGACTAAGAACATTTTGATTAACTGATGTCTTGCTTTGCTGAACACATTCTTGAGGCGAAATAGAAAACGTTTGAAAAAAATTAACAATGAATTTGCAAACCTCCTGATTTCTGGCTACCAAAGGTTGGAATGTCTGTATGTAATAAATGTAATAATGATCTACTACAGTATACAACCTGAAATTTCAAAACAGTCAAAAGGCATCCAGAAAGATTCTAATGAAAGCGAAATTTGAAAATTGGTCTGACATAGGCCACCGTGTGGAAATTTCCTCAAGCAGTAATGAAAACAAAGTGAAATTCATATTCATGGTGTATAATATTCTTCTCTGCATTACTTTCCACCAGTTGCAGTACCTGCACATGGTATGAAATATAGAAATGAAAGCACTTAGATTAAAGACTTTTAAAATTTTTATTTGCAGCTAGTGCGTTTGAGACCTTTAGCCAAATGTTTAATCTCATTGATGATGAAAGGACGCGAGTGGTATGTTATACAGAAAAATGTTATACATTAAGATGTTTTCATACAGCGAACGAACGAGTGACTGTTGTGAAAACAAATGAACATGCAGTAATATGCAAAAATAGTGCAATACGAAAGCACTTCCCATGAACAAATTTATTTATATGATACAAACCGATATTTTGCTCCCGTTGGAACATGTATTAGTCATCATCCGGAGGCTTTAAATTTGCCTTTGGAAAGATAGTTATACATACAGTATAGTGAACATATGAGATCATTTATAAACGAGTGATTCATGCCACTGTATGACGATTTCAGTAAAATAATGTTTCGTTCATACAGTCTTGTGTATAAAATATGCAGTTCATTGGAACAATTGAAATAGAGCATGCGGAATAAACTTGTGTTCAGCAGGGGTGGATCTAGTCTCATCTGCAAGGAGGGTTGCAGGTTTTCCATGGGATGGTGCATGAGGGAGCCTTGCCCACTCTCCTCTGCAGTCTGCAACCCAACATTATACCATTATTTGAGACGGCCAAATCTGCATGTTCATCATTCTGTTATGTTTTACATTATCTTTTGTTTATAAAGTTTTTGTCGGCCTTCTATCACAATACAGTAAATTTGCTTGTTCAAGTATATTTGAAAATATGGCTGTATAACAACCTCAACAGATTTACATAATTAACCATGATATTTAACGTAAAGTATTTTCTCATGAGCTCACAAATCAATTCAGGGTCTGAAATTTTTTCAGTACCCATGCATATTGGGATACCAGTATTCAAAGTTCTAGTATCTCATCTGAGAATCCAGTATCCAACTTCTGGATACTGGTTACCATAAATTTTGGCATCCCTGAACCATCAAAGGAAGTATACAGTACATGTCTCTCATTGTTAGAAATTACGATAACAACAAGTCTCCACTCAACAGTCGACGACTGACCACCAAGTTGGAAATCAAAGGCTGGTTATTTTCAAGAAGTCACGCTGACTCATAGTATTCAAAGTTATTACTTATTGGCAGACCACCGGAGACATTTAGCATTATCCTAATGTTTGAAATTTTGTAATACCCAGTTGAGAACAAGTCATTCACAGTTTGGTATCCAAAATCAAATTTTAGTATCCTTTGGATATTGGGATACTGAAAATTTCAGACCTACTGTAAATTGTCATTGTTGTAAATTGAAAATTTCAGACCTACTGCAATATTCGAAAAGCAGAAAATGTATGGTCAAGCAGATTTTTTTAGAGTGATTCTGGACGTTTCTAGGGGGATGCTAGACACCACTAGCATGGGCGTACCGGAAGGAAAAAATTAGGAGGGCGGAAAGAAATTTGCCCGACTTCCCGTCGCCAAGAAACTTGCCCGTCGCCAAAAAAATTTCGGTACGCCTATGACCACTACGTAGGGTGCGCGCGCCCTGCACCCCCACGGTAGATCCGCCCCTGGTGTTCTGCTTCCGGTGAAACAAACAAAGGGAATGGGAAATGCCGGCCGTGGGCAAATTGATTTGATATCATCGCACACATGTACAGCGTCACTCTCAGTGTCAGTTTCGTGTTCCTGAATGCCTTGCAGTATCAGTTTCAGTTTTATGCACTTTGAAATGAGTTTTTGCGTAACTTGAATCATTTGTAAATTAATTCTGTTTCTACTTGTTTGTGTGATGGATGTGAAGCTATTGTTGAGGACACAACAGTTAGCTACTGTTACATACTCTGAATAGTAAAGTAACAACATGTCTTTCAACATGTTAGGTAGAAAATGCTACAAGTCAACTGATTGATCCATTAGAAAAGTTCAGAAAAGATCAAATTGGTGAAGCCAAGGTATGTGTACAAAATCTCCGACAAAATCTACTGTATAGCTATAACTACTGTATATGAGATAATGAAGTACAGCGTACAATTTACTGATTTTAACCATCCAAATAGAGATCAGTATGATAATCAGGTTACCAAAAGCCTTCTGAAGGAGGGCGGTTCTTTCAATTGTTTGAATTCAGAGAGAGGGATCATGTTTGTGCCTCGTTGACTGGGGAATGACATTCTTTATTACTTAATTTAATTGAGATATAATGTACTCACTTAAAGCACCATTTGTTGTTATTACTGTATGTTGATAAATCATATAGACCATTGCTGAATTACTATATGGTGCCATGTACATACGGTACATATATGTCACTTTCTGCTTAACCTATTAAGCGTCAGCGTTCAGTCCTTGACGAGTGTTGTCTGCATGGTGTTAGACAGAGTAGAATTGATAAAGTATAGGGTAGGGGTGCACCGGAACTCGGTTCCGGCCGGTTAGTTCCGGCCGGAACCCCGATTTTTTAGAGTTCCGGTTCCGGCCGGAACTAGTAAAAAAAAGCATGGCCGGAACCGGAACTCTGTCGTTTTTAGGGAGATAGAATATCAAACGTTTTTGTGTCTAACAAAAGGTCACAGTAGGAAGAAAGTTGGACTACGCAAGGGAAATGTACACTATTAACACTTCATTATGACGTTTAATCAACGTTTGTCAGTCTTTTTATTCTGACATTTGCGAACTCTCTACTTGATGATTTGAAGTGTCTGCTTGTCTGGCAGCGGACAAAGTAACATATGACTATATATGGCTTAATAAATTAGTTCCGGTTCCGGCCGGAACTTTCTTCCAGTTCCGGTCGGATCCGGTTCCGGCCGGAACTTAAAAAACCGGTTCCGGTGCATCCCTAGTATAGGGCACCTCAATTGATGTGCAATGCAGTAACAATTAATTAATGCAAGTAGACATGTTGGGCATCTGATTAACCCGCCAGCCTTCTCCCCTTGACTAGTAAAATCATCTGGCGTTAGATAGAGTATAATGATAAAGTAGGATGCATTGGAGTGCAATGGGTTAACAGTCAACCGTCAAATTGTGGAATACAAAATTTGAGGTTTGAAACTGGCCTGACAGGAATGTCCATTAGCCTGTATTGTATTTGTGAAAAATGAAGCCCAGATCCCAAATCAATTAAGAGACAGGAATTCTGGTCTGACCGTGTTAATGGAAAGTGCACAGACAGCGGAAATTTAAATAATGTGCAGGACTAAATAGAAATGAAAATAAATGAAAGAATGGGTATGCGAGTATAATATTGTAAATTGTATTCTCAGATGTAATTCTGCAAGTGGTTATATAGTGGTGTGTCCACTCTACATGTATATCGGAGGCAGATACTTGCACTTGCTCTATTGGGGCAGACACTTGCTCCGTCACTGTTCTTTATTATGTTTTGAAATGTTTTAGGAAGAAAAACGGAAATTTGATAGACAAACAGAGAAATACGTTAATTGTTTAAATAACTTCCTTGCTACTTCAGCAAAGAAGAGTACTAATAATACGTTGGAGGTATGTGATATTTGTAAATCAGAGTGGTGGCAGACTGGCAGTTATTGAAGGAATTTGAGTAAAAATATTGGGACCTTCTTCTTAATTTACTGTCCGTTGTAACTTTTAGGGAATGTCTATTAGTAAGAGGTGCTCAGTATAAATCAAAGCATACCTATACGTACAAAAGAATTATATTTTTCTTTAGCAAATACTCGGGAGGTGAATAGTGGTTTTCCCGCTATTTGATTGGTTGCTCCGTTCCGGATATCCTTGCACTATTCACCTCCGGACAAAAACAAAATGGCTTCCCGCTTCGTTCCGGTTATAGACAAGCAAATTTTTTTACTAAACGAAGCTTCGGTTTTCCCAAACACGAAGAAAGCCACAAAGTTTTGTTTTACAGTGCGTAGAGGTATTCTTTGAAACTATTTCTATAGTAAATAAAATTGCTAAAAAAATACTGTTTTGTTTACAACTATCACGGGAGCTGAAATGCAAATTGTTTTAAAAATAGTTTTGGTCATTTTTGTTTTGGTGTGGTATATGCTAGAACAATTATTCACCTCAGTGTCGGTGAATAGTGGAAGGACATCGCGTTTCGGTGAATATCCTTCTTGCACTATCCACATCTATACTTCGGTGAATAATTGTTAGTTTATTATTCATCGTGGTTATTTTTCTTTATTAATTGGGGACTGTTTATTGAGAAAATGAAATGGAAAAATATGATGCTTTTCTCAACCGTCTTCAAAAACTATATGTACAGTACATGAAAATTTGTGCAAGAAGTAACATTTAATGATGTTAGATTTGTGGGATTGCTCTCTATATGGTGACTGCATTCCATTACTCATTGTACAACGATCGAAGTGGTTAATATCTAATTTCTCACCTATTCTTTTTCAGGAATCATTGGTCACAGAAAGAGATAACTTTTATGAAACGGCTCTTAGTTATGTATTTAAACTGCAAGAAGTGAATGAGAAAAAGAAATTCGAGTTTGTAGAAACGGTACGTTTTATATTGTAGAAGGGTTCAAACATTGCTACTGTTGTTATTTTGGCAGCACTGTAAATTATTAGTGACAGTATAACATGTGCTGTATAAAAAATCGGATTTCGACACGGTTGCGGGGAGTGCGAATTGGTTTTTCTCAACAAAGTGTGCAAAGAGCATTTTATATCGAGAAATGAAAAAAGTTTTGTAAAAGTGAAAACCCATCCCAGTGGGTTTTTTGACGAAAAACAATAATCCTGAACAGGATATATGCAGAAATCATCGTTTAAAAATACAGTTTCAAAGTTGTTGTGAAAACCCAAATGCAAGTCGAAACACAAAAGGTCAAGATAAACTCTACTATTTATATGATTCTCTCCCAATTAACCAGTATGGTTTAGTTTCCCATCCGTGACTAATTGAACAATCAGTTTCTTTAAAAATTGCAATAGGTTGATATACACACATGACGAACAATTTTTACATAAACTTGGGCTAACACAGATCATGAGTTCCATAGAGTCTATAGTTATCTTGTTGTATTTGTAAATTTATATATTACGCAATTTAGTGTGTAATTCAGTGGGCCATCATCTAATAAAAAATTTAAGTGCCTCTATTCCGCAAATTTTTTTATTGTCGCATTGAAAAGCACATTTTATACTGCTACTGTATGCACGACTTGCAAGTATGACGTATCATCAAAAATAATCCGCCATTTTGGATGGCAAAAATCTTTTATTCAACCGGCTACTACACAGCTGTGGACCATTATAATTCTTCAAAGTGCTCAAACAAAAGCAACAGACGCAGTCAGTGGCACAGTCTCGCTTTGGCGCCATGTTCTGATAACTATTTTTAATTTGCCACCAAAAATGGCAGAAGTCAACAAATACATGTTGTGACGTCACTTGCAAGAGTCCAATAGAGTAACTCGTTTGAGCAACTCCTTTATCTCGTTTCCGAGTTAGTTTAGGTGTTTGATATGCAAATTACCCCACGTTATGTCACACGTGCATTATTATTTAAAATAAAAGCTTTGTATCTTAGTCATTATCGAATGAAAACGCTTTGTAAATAAGGAAGTGTGTCACCAAACGTGAACAGGTGTTAGCATTTTATTGAACATATTTTACTTTCACTTTCGTCGAAAGTCAGTGTACTACTTCGAAAGGTAATTTACATATGAAACGTACTGAGAAAACAAAATTCTGGAAAAGGAGTTACGCTTTCCAATGAGACAATGAATAAAAAAATGACGTTATGGGGATAAAAAGCATTGGAGAATGTAATTTTCAGATTGCTAGAGTTTTGTCTCCGCGGCACTGTTTTTTTCTGTGAATCATCAGATCGCACAATCATCAAATCCATTAATCCATTTTCAATTGCATTTACACTTATTGTGTTTCATTGTTCTATTTTAGCTTCTTGGCTTTGTATATGGCCAAATGACGTTTTTTCACAGCGGTAGGTTTTGTAGAATATTAGATTGTCACTATATTATTAGATGTCGGCAGATAACATGCATTCTTGGCACGTATCAATCTAAAATTGTTGTGACATTTTAATCATATTGGAAAATGCAACATACAGCATGTGACGCATGCACGTCCGTTTCCCTTTAAAGTGTGCTAGCAGCTGTATTAATTAAGAGGAGAATCTTTTCATTTGTATGTTACGAAACACGCGCTCAAAACTAACGAATATACTTTTCACTTCGTTATGACCATAGTTAATTTTTATCATTTTTTATACGCTGCTCAAGCGGCAAACAAACATAAAAAGTATATGTAGTGCTTTATCTGTAATATGAATAGATTTTAGATGCTACGCCAAAGAGAAAAGTATGCCTGAAGTTCAGTTTTGTTTTTACGTCTCATCCTGTTTACACGGTTGCCTAGCAACCCATCTTCAGTTCGAAAATCAGCTAACAATAATAACAATAACAACAATAACAAGACGCCTGCTCAGGCGTTCACACTGGCCTCGCGGTTGGTAAAATACCATCGCAATATTCCAAAAAAATAATTTGAAACATGTAGATGACTAGATGTTCTTCACTTCTTGACGGCCATCACTTCATGATCACAGACATTCAGAGGACGGCCCAATAAAAATCCATACAAAACCAATAGAGTTCAGCCATATCATATCGAAAAACACAGAAAAGTTCAAGCGCATGCGCAATGAAATATAATATAATAAAATACGTCCCACAATTACAGCGTCTAAGATTTGTAACGTAGTTAAATACGAAATTCGTTCTGAATAGCATTGTGTAGAATTGGTCCTTAAATCATCGTGAGCATGTTTTAGCTAAATTGCGCAATCCTGAGCCCACGATGCCGCAATGGAAAGTCACTTGCGACAACCAAAAAGAACACGAAAAATTCCTTGCATTTTCAGCAAGGGCAAATTATGACACTGACACTGACAACTAATGTCTAACATGACACTGACACTGACAACTAATGTCTAACATGACAACAGACACTGACACTGACAACTAATGTCTAACATATCATAACTTGCTTCGGCCATTAAACGCAACGAAGACCTAATTTACCAACATCGGGAAAATCTAATAACGAATAAAGAGAACGTAGTAACTGGGGAACGGACGGGCGGGATTGTTATATCTCACTTCTGTATTCTCATATAATCTTGACTTTACTGAGGGCGCTCTGAGGGCAAAATCTTCAATTATGTTTCTAACACAGAAGTTCGATATAACAATGTTTGTTTAAAGCAGCGAAACACCTAAACCAGAAACTATTTCCCCTGTGACAGGACTGCTCTGGCATAACTGTCTGAAAATAAAGGGCGATAATAAAAACGGACAAAAGATGATGGTCCTGACGAGTCAGCCATCTTTAGCACTTCGTCCAAAAAGACGTCATTTGGAGGTTGAAGCTGACCTCGTGGAATGTCGTTTAAAAATATAAGTATCAATACGCGCACCGCCCAAAATGCATTTCATCCAGCGAGCAATAGCACAAGACTTCACGGGCCTGTGTGATCTGTGCATGATAACTGATCAAGAGTTGCCGTACCGACTTGGGGTCCACCGGCCTAAAACCGTCTGTTCGTGAAATGCATGACTGCAAGCAACGCAGAATGCAAAGCTTTACACAATCATCAAATTTGGCAAAGAAAGCCGGCGTCATATCCGAGGACGTTTTGTTCAAGCCTGGTAACTCAAAAACAACTCCCTCAGGAAGAATACGCATAAAGCGCAAATCCAGCAGCTTCAACTCCGAGGAACCTTTTGGGGCGGTCAAAGCAGCAAAAGAGATAACTTTTGGGTTAAGGTACTGCGAGGGAGATCTTGATTACTTGGCAAAGAACGCAAATGCTCTAAAGCAACATTGACATCTCAAGACTGCTGATAACGAGGCATAGCTGCGCGGAGATTCAAAATGCCTTTAAGCAAGCGAAGCACGAGAGGGTGTTGCCCTACTGGAAAACCTTCAATTGGAGGCAAAGTGCCAGACAGCAGAACGATATGTGTTGATTGTCCTACACTCTAATCCCTCCTCAAACGAGTAAGCTAAAAAACCCATTCTATCTGCCAAAGAGGGGCAAAGTGGATCGACTTTCCTTCTGACACACCATCGATACCATTTTTTCCAGGCGGAGTTATAAAACGTACTGAGTTTGTGCGTTTCTTTTGCCAAGACTGTTCCAAATATGCCAAGCTGAAGAGGCTAGCTGAAGAGTCTGCTTCGCAACCAAAGGATGCACTTGATCCTGTGGTCCTTGAAGCAATTTGAGAAATTATCGCACCCTGTCTTCATCAGCTCTATACGGTGATTGTTGAGGAATAGAGCATTGTTATATCGAAATTCTGTGTTCGAAATATAATTGTATCTTAATTGAAAATATTTCACTATTATTTTGTGTGTCTCAACCGCCAGATACATTTAATTAAAAAGGTAACTAACTGTGTAAACTACAAAATAGAGCTAAAACAAAGTAATTTTGAGAGGAACGCCGAATCTTAGGTTTTGAACACTTTTCATCGCATTGAAAAAAATCGCCTCTTAAATATCAGCGTATTTCATTGTAGGCCACGAAGTGTTCCAAGACTACAAGAATAATTTGGTTGAACTTCAAGTTCGATTACAGAATGTAAGTATAAACTTATATCGATAACATATCCATATAGAAATACAATCCAAGCTAACACAATTTGTTGAATTTTCTAGACCAGGGATCGATTTGAAATCACGAAAGAAGAAGCAGTCACGCTGCAAGAGAAAACACGCAAGGTACAGTTCTCTTAATTGTTTTACGGTCTCGTTGCCAATATAGACTTTCTCCAACTCTCCCCTAGGCCAAAAAAAAAATATGTGGGTTTCCGGTTTCCCGACCTTACCTAGCTTTTCGACGTCGAAATCCCGACCCTAAACTTTTTTATTGGATCATGCTTGTAAGTGTTTCCACTTAGAAGAAAAAGTTTGTGGAAAATTGAAATTTGAGGCAATATTAGGGAAATTTATCTTTGGATGTGGAAGCAGTGACTAAACAAAATGGCGTCCGCTTGTTAGGAAAAATAAAAAAAAGTTAAAAAAAAGTTAAAGCCGACCTACCCTACCTACGTTTTTATAAGAAGAAACCGGAAACCCACATATTTTTTTTTTGCCCTATTTGTAATTTGTGAAATAGGGACTTGCATGCATATGTTGGATAGGGATGTGCCGGATACTTCTTTGGAAACAATTATTGATCAAACTCAATAACTCATGAGTAAATTAGCCAACCATAGTGCTTTATTTTGCTCCCATGATCATACTGGATACCTGGTGAAGTATATTGACTCCAGTCCTACGACTGGATCGAGATGAATTCAATCCTTGGACTGGATCAAAATGAATTCACCTCACTTTAAGTAGTGATTTTTTCGTACGAGATGTCATTTCAAATCCTCCAATACGGACTGGATTAGATTTCAAGTCCTCGCATTTTCATCCAGTCCTCGGCTTCGTCTCGAACCTGCCTCCTCCGCAGGCCCTCGTTGCGTCATGGGAAGGTCACGATCTGGCGAGGGCCTGCGGAATCTTGTAAAAAAAATGGCGCCGGCGTCACGTCAGCAAGTAAATTTCTACATAATCTTGAATATAAATAGATATAAAAAAGCGGTGTGAAACTTATAAATTAAACTGGCGACTCTTAGCACGTGGAAGGAAGCATTTTTTAACGATAAGGTTTGTTGTCCACACCAATGTTGCACGAATAAAACTGCCTTCTTTAACGAAGCAGGTTCAAAACAACATTTATTCATTTTACAAGATTCCGCAGGCCCTCTCGAAATCGTAACCTTCCCATGACCCAACGAGGGCCTGCGGAGGAGGCAGGTCTCGAACTTGATCAAATTGCGCGGACTTGAAATCTAGTCCAGTCCTCATAGTCGGATTTGGAATATTACGTCAATAATAACTAATAAACCCGGAAGTGAGGCGCCAGTTGTTCTTGGTTTTTTCACGAATTTCAGCATGTCTGCCGGTCGGGTATATTACAGTTTCGGAATACAAGGTGAATTATTGAAACGTTGACGTCAAAAGGTACAGTGCTTTGGTGACCTATTCAGTTGAATTTGAAAATGGCGGCCTTTCACTGAGTGGCCTATACAGGGTGTATAAAAAAAAAGGTAATCGAACTTCAGCGCGCTATTGTATCTGAATTACTCTGCGTATGAACGAGATTTTTTTACATTCGGAAAGATCATGCTTTTAGCTGTTGAATGATATCTTCTTCATGCCAAATGGATAAAAAATGAGCAAATACGAGTCCGATAAAAAATGTTAGTCAGAATCGCATATTTTCACCGTTGAGAGTTGGGTCTAAAACCATTGAAAATGAACCCCCTTTAGGACTTAAGTTGATGAATTTCACTTCATTAAACTGCACACACATTCATAATTATTATTTAAGTAGGAATAAATCTTAGCTAAGCTACGACACGTTCGTGATCAATTGCTTTTTCTTTTGTTATGCATTGTTTTAATTAGGCACAGAGGTGAAAATATGCGATTTTGACTAACATTCTTAATCGGCCTCGTACATGCTTATTTTTTCTCCACTTGGCATGAAAAGCAATAAAGCATGTCATTCAATAGCTAAAAGCCTGATCTTTCCGAATATGAAAACCAATTGTTCATACGGCGAGTGATTCACGTATAATAGCGCGCTGAAGTTCGATTACCTTCTTTTGATACACCCTGTATATGTATTTCGCACAGTTTCGTTAAGTTTCGTTAAATTTCACAATATCTTAGCGAAAAACAGACGGTTTTGTGTGTCAAGAATAGCGATTGCAATAATTTACTTACGTCCATCAATTACAAATAAAGAAATGGATGACCGTTTGCACCATTTACTCCCAGATATTAAATGTACCCGAATGCCGAGAGAGGTTTATAGTAAAAGCGCGCCGAAGGACTTTTACTAAACCTCTCGAGGCTTGAGGGACATTTCATCACTAATCGACCGCATTGCCATGCTATCTATCACTTTGTAATATCATAGCTGCCGAGACAATAAAACGGTTTTAGACGATTGAATAAGTTGAAATGAAAAGGCGCGTTTGCTTTTTGATATACTAGTGACTATTGGATGTTCGTTGATGAGGTTTACAGGGAGCAAATGTTCAGACTGTAAGCATATTAACATTGTGAATAAATGATATGAAGTGTTATCTTTTGTGAGTTAATTGAACATCAATATAAGAGGTTATGGATAACTATGAGGGACGATTAGTAACTAATCGTCCCGTGGGATGATTAGTTTCTAATTGTCCCTCATGTTTTAGCAATGAGGTAAATTAGTCATTAATCGCATCTCGCGAAACAAAGGATTTCGAGATAGCTATGATATTATTATATAAATTTTTAGTATAGCAATTCTATAGTCCAACTAGTAATCTCTAACTTGACTTCTTACAGCAAGGATAGTATAATCAAGTAATTGATGTAATTCACTAAAACTTTTAAAACATTTTAAAATTTAACTCTTAATGTTAATGTTAATGTTAATGTTAATGCATGGTATAGGGTTTCTCTTTTTCATGTATTTTAACTTTTGATTTCCAATAATTAGACTTCCAACAATAATAATAATATAATAAAAGTTCCAGTAAATATTCGCCAAATTTTTGCCGGATAATGGCGGATGTCTATATATTGCCTGCAACCGGATCCGGCACATCCCTAATATTAGACCTGAAGGTAAGCCAACACAATACAGCCATCCTGACTGTTGTGATTGGCCGGATGTGCAGCAATCGGAAATTACCGATTACCGATTATTCATGCCACAATCTACCCGATGCCGATACCGGTTTTATAATGACGTCATAATATCAGTCTACCAAGTAAAGGTGACGTCAGTCATGTCGATTTTTTAACGATAATTTCCAACGTAACATGTTACTGCAACCAAAGATCGTTAAAACCGTTGATATAAATGGCACGCTTCACGCATTAATTTAACATATTGCATTAAAACGCAACGTGTATATATCACCGTGTAACGCATATAATTTTTAAAATGCGTGTTTTCTCAACAGTCTGTTTCAGACAATCGAAAATAAAGATAATTCTACCGATTCCGATTGTCTACCGATAAGACAAAAATCGACCCAATGCCGATACCGAATATCGGCCAATCGCTAATCAGGAATGGCGCGCGCATGCCTTGCCACACACCTCAACTTATCAAGAGTCCCACGCCTTGATTAAACTGCAATGCAAAATACATTTACTAACAACGCCAAGGATATTTCGTCTTGTTAACATTAGTCAGTAACACCAGGTTCAGATAGCTAGGCTCCACTACTTCTACATGCATGATTTTTGGAGTTGCCCTGAACTTCATGAATTCGGACAGTTAAGACTTACACGAACGAGGTAAATTATATAAATGTATTCGTAAGGCAACAAAAAAATAACAAAACTATACAAAAAGCCGATTAAAAAAACTATTCCAACCAAAATGTTTATCTGTTCGACCGCGCTCTCCCCCAGGCTTTTTGCTCGGCCGTACATAATTATGCAATACATTAACAACAGGGTTACGAAACTGAATACATAATGTTATCCTTCAAAACACGGTGAAATACTGGACTATAGGTTGTTGTGCTTTATGTTTTCTAGAAAGCCCAGGCGGGTGAGCTTCAGAGTAGTAAAATGTACGCCAGACAGGGCTATCTCATGGTGCAAAGGAAAGGAAAAGGTTAGCCAAAAGACATGTGCTCTTTAACAAGGCCGCCGAGCAAACGTTTCTGGGGGGAGGCCTCTGTCGCTTTGGGGACACCATTTCATGAGCTTGGTGCGCGGGGGAAAATGCCACCTTCCCCTCTCACGGCGGCCATGCTCTTTAAGAACTTTATAAAATAACCAGCTAGGACACTCGCAGACTGCATACCCCCGCCAGCAACATTTTGCTCGCGGGAAAATGGGAGCGTTTTCCTCGTCTTACTTAGAATCGGTGATAGAAAAATGAGTGGGTATTGGTACCATAGTATGACCAACATATGACCACCTTTTCTTGCTGGGTATCTTAGTACAGTACTTTAGACTTTTTCCCCAATGTTAAATTTCATGTAATACTGCATATACTGGCCTGTACCAGTGCTCTGATGGTTATAAACATCTTTGTTACATTGTTATTTAGCTAGCCATCATTCAAAGGCTTTTAGAAATTGTTGTCTCCCCCTCCCTCCCCCTTCCTCAGTGTCATATGGTTGACATGATCTGCCAAAAAGCTCGTATGAATTGTTAATGATTGTTTAATTTTGGTTTCGATTGTCACTATCTTATTCTATGCTGTTTTTGTTTCAGGTGGTTTGGGTTACACGTGGAATAAAAACTTCTGCATGTATACAAAAGAAAACAAGATATTTACAATGGTTCCCTATGTACAGACACAGTCAAAACTGGTTAGTGTATATATATATTCACTCAACTTCTAAATTTACATTCCAATAGGAAACCTCTTTATACAGGGTACATTAGATAACGACTGAAGAAATGTAAATCAACTTAAGGTCAGTTTAAAACAGAGATGAAGTTTCTTTAGCATAAACTGCCTGGTATAGAGGTTTGTTTCATAGGATTGGTCGAAAGTGCTAACGAAATTTTCAAAATTTGCCACTTTTTTCCGAAAATCCGCTTGCGTTTGACGAAAATACATCATAAAGGTCCATACAGACCGAACGCGATTCGACAACGCGACGCGAATTTTCAGTTTTTAAAAACAAATAAAGCCGTCAACGGATAAAAATTTTACAAGATATGCAGACCAAATAGCTCAATTTGCTTAAGTGGTTCCCAATATTTGAAAAACATAGAAAAATATTGAAGTTTGAAAATTCGCGTCGCGTTGCCAAATCGCGTCCGGTCTGTATGGACCTTTAGTCATATAGGCTTGGTCTGCGAATCCATGCAGACGTCATTTCCCACACACAGACTTGGGAATTTTTCATTAATACATTTATCGAATTTATAGCACTTGTTCATTAATACTTTTAAATTTCTAATATTTAACTTTCTGCTTTAATGCTATCAGTAGATAATGGATTATTATACCTATAAGTTTGCGTATAAATACATTCTTTCCTTTCATTCATTCGAGAATTTTCAAATCGGTCTATAACAACATCGTGAAACACAAAACTATTTGTAGTGACCGTCGCTTTACGTGGTTTTTAATGGTCACCGTGTATACAGCATTAGGCGAAGATTTTATTAAACATATGTTTCACTAAAGCTATAGCTTGTCGAGTAAAACTCGAATCCACGGAATCGGGTATCGATCGGCAAACGATCAGAGTCTGTAAAAGTTCGTCACATATTTATGATATATTTACCAAAAGTGAGTGCTTTGATATAAGTGTCCATGAAATTATTGGTGAAACAAGATACAGGACTATATCTGCATGGAAGTCGATAACAAACGCATAGTAGAAAATATTTCAATTAGATTATAGGCATACACCCCCACCGGATCTCCCTCGCCGGTCCAATCTAGATGGACTATATATCCGAGAATTTCAACCTCTTTTCTCACATTGGCCGTAAGCCAAGTATCATGATCCGCCGATCACGAGTACTCGGAAGTTAAACATGGCTCGTCCTAAAGGGTAAATTGTTTTGAATATTTAAAGTCTCTAAAATCGTTTTTATTTTGTCTACTGAAAATAAAGGCAGTGTTTCACTGGGCAACACCGCAACCACGACGTACAATCACGCAACGCTATATATATTGTCTATAGGTGCACCTTGTCAGATACGAATTTGGTGTCATGCACTTATTACGTCTCGTCTCGTAAAACATCACTTTAATTATTAAGGCCGATTCAACACTACACAACTTTGCCTAAAACTGTCGCATGCAATCTTCTTGTACAACTTGAATTGTGTTGTTGTATGATCGAACATACAACTCGCCTATGTTGTCGTACAGGTGACTTGTCACTGGAAGAAAAATAGTGAAATTCATATACCATCATGGAATTTGCGATTGCATCACTAAATCTATATATAGTATATCAAAAGTATATCTATGCATATACTATTTCCAATCTATATCGAGGGTCCTGAAGGGGGGTGGTGTCGTATTCCCATTTCCCAGCCCAAATTTTGACTAAATCCCATTGTCCCAGAGCACAAATCCCATCATCTCAGTGGCTGTCCTGCTCAAATCTTAATCCCATTCCCATTTTCTATTGTTTTTTTGCTGATGAATCTCACTCCCAGTGCATGAAATCCCATTTTCCCACCCAAAAATAAGCAAATCCCAGTTCCCATTTTACCCCTTCAGGACCCTCTATATCCATAGTATTAAAATTGCAATTTAGCATGAATATTTCCAAGGAAGATCCATACTATTTCCACAGTAAGGATTTTGAAAAAAATTCCAGTGTGTGTGCTTGATTTACACAGCACATCTCAGTTGTAAGCAGGTCGCATGCGACAGTTTTAGGCAAAAGTTATGTAGCGTAAATCTTCCTTTAGAATCTTACGCTCATCACACACTGTAAGCTCAACATACTGACGAGTTTACACTTGCAATTCTTGCTGCGATTTCTAGTGCGATTTTCTTCTTCTGGTGCATGTGAAAGAGTAAATATGTTATGAATGTTCTGAGTATATGTCTCGCTGATGTACGCTCATCTGAACATTCACAACTCATCCACTCGTTCGCATCCATCAGAAGAGGAAAATCGCAGCAGAAATTGGAAGTCTTGAGTAAATGCGGTAAGCGCATGCAGTTTGCCCCCAGGGCTTTGAGGAAAACCGTAATTAAACTTGCTTGGCAGTGAAACACCTGACCCTTTTTCTAACCCCATTAATAATTGATTTCATGCATACACGAATCGATAATTTGATCTACAACTATTGAGGACTCTCTTGACCGTTCAATTTATGTTTTCTATTAATGCTCAAAATGATATAATTTTGTGTGCAAACGTTCCTGGTATACGACCCATTCCTTGATGGACGGCTAGGATCACTTGCTGTATGTATACTGACATCGCTTTTGTCCATTCTTCAGACTGGCTCTACGGATACGGTTGTATTGAAAAGCTGTGTGAGGTAAAGTTGTTTTTTACATATTGTATGGCTGTATAGTATAGAGTCGGCAAAGCCCGCGGGAGAATCCAGGGCTTTTCCTTCTACCGTATTGTTAGTGTACATTTTCTTTTAAGGTGTTACCAAGCGAGGTTCACTTGAGGTCAGGCGGCCTAAGGGTTTGATCGCAGGATCAACCGAAATAGATATGGGAAATTAATAAAGTGTTATTTATTTTGACTGAATAACACGCTAAAAAGCTTTTCATAGCCGGAATGCTACTGCTGCAAATCTCTTTAAATTTGGATATTTAACATTGCATTTATTTAATGGAAATGCGTATGTATTGATTAGTATTAAAATCTCCTTCCACTGTGAAAAGAACTACATATATATGTAATATAGTGCCTGTTGTTGTGAGCCCGATTATATACCGAAATGCCTCGCCATTATATTACTGTATTCACATAGCGAGGAAGCGGGCTAGTCTGCATGCTTGGCGAGGAACTCGCTTACCGGGATGAAGTCAAGAATCCAAATTTCGGATTTGACCGTTTAATTTGATTTAGTTTTATTTGCTTGTTTTGCCAACAAGCATTAAATATGTTGCTACATGCAGGCAAGCAGTATATTCTCTTCTAAATAAACGAAGAATAACACCAAAATCGTTAAAAACAATTGTGTTGCATGATTGAAATGTACAAATTTTGCCGGCGCCAATCGACCAATTATAGAACTATACATTAATTGTAATTTTGTCTCGACAAGCGAGATGAAAAACTTGAGATTTCGATTTCGGTTAGCGGGATTATGCATATATAAACTGGCCCCTTAACGGTTTTCGTCTGTATTCATTCGCCAACTGTCACAAAGCAGAATATAAACACGAATTGTACTGTACAAAGTTTGTGATAAATTTTATGCATATCAATTACGAATGTTTCAATTACGTGTATATCTGTTTGCATATTATTTTGTATGAATACAAATACAGTGCAACATGTACAGCGGGCAACCTCCATACTACTACGTACAATGAATTCAGATTCCGATTTTTCACAGCGAGAAATGGTGAGAGGGTTCTAGTTAAAAATCGGGCAATTTTTCTAGGCCTGTCCGCTTCGGTATAATGTATACTCCGCCCGTCATTGATATTAATGTTGAAGTTATAATATCAAATTGAAATTTTTGTTTCGTTAAATGTAAATTGCATGCTGTAGAGTGAGGAGTTTTCGATCTTTAAGAAGAATGAAAACCCGGAAATACTCGTATTAAATAGTTCTATTATGAGAGTATATAGGAGATGTGTTTCTTCTCTTTACCTTTTATTCACTATCAATAAACCAATGATATATCATGTCGGGCAAATTTTCTGTCCGCCCACCTAAACTAATACGAAGATCGGAGGTCGTTATAGTTTTGTGATTCAGAAGAACAACGTCTAAATAATTTATGAAATATGAAATAAGATCTTCGTTCGACAATCAGAAAATGCTCAAATTTCAAGGTTAGAAACCGCAACAGAGATAAGTATTTGTGAAAGGTGTTGTGAACAATTCATGCAGAAGGCTATTCTATACGTTTTTCAAATCAGTTTGAAACGAGTACGAAGATGACGTACACTTGTATTGTTTCGAGCATTCTGCATAGTTATATTACTCGTATTTATAATCGGTCTTATTAGCTAATTCTGTTGGGTTTGAAGTTAAAAACCGCAATGCAGAAAAATAAACTGTAAATACAGAACTGTTCGGGTACTGATTTCAATGTAAAGAAAGAAGTCTATATATATATATATATATATATATATATATATATATATATATATATATATATATATATATATATATATATATATATATATATATATAT